ACATTAATATGAGTATATAAAGCAAACATGTCAACATTGTATCTTAGAGCCCACGATGATTGTAGACGGGTACATATGGAAACTGCAGCATGAATGAAGGAGTTTGGGATGGACATGAGTTGCTGCCAAGTGTTTTTCTTCATAGTGCATAAAGTCGAACAATGTTAACTTCAACTAGACTCTGAAAAGTTACAGATTCATATTGTAATCCCTATTTTAACCACAATAGACATAATACTAAGGGGCATATCTAAAAATTAATTAGATGACAGATAATGAGCTTCTACAAACATTTTCAAATAATCCAAAAGAATTCAGGAAAGAGAAACAGAGGAAAAAAACAAGAGAGGATATACAGAAAATGCTAGATGTAAATTCAAAAGCCCCCAAATTACGTAAATATTAATATAATGGAATTCCAACAAAAAGGCAGAAATTATTAGAATAGGTAAAAAAAAGGATTCCAACTATATACTATCTACAAATGATCGACTTTAATATAATGCCACAGATAGCTTGGAAGCAGATGAATGAAAAATGGTAAGAACAGGAAGGCTGGAGTGACTCCATTAACATCAGATGATAGTGATTTGAAGTAAAAGTGTTACAAGAAATAAAATGAGATATTGTGTAATAATAAATGGGTCAATTCTTTAGGAACACATAACAATCATAAATGTCTATGTGCCTAGTAAAAGCTCTTAAATACATGAAGCAACGATAAACATTAAAAGGAGATTTAGGAGACGTAGACCATTTCACAGTCATGGTTGGAGACGTCAACATCACTCTCTCAGTAGTGGATGGACTAGCAAATTATGAGGGAATGACTATTTTTAAAACATTTTAATAATAAGCTGCATCCCTACTCCACACCACACACAAATATTAATTTGAGTTGCATCATCAACTTAAACATAAAAGATGAAATCATCAAGTTTATTTAAAAAACAGAAAAATATAACCTTGAAGTTAGCAAATATTTCTTCTTTTTGATTTTTTTATTATACTTTAAGTTTTGGGGTACATGTGCAGAACGTGCAGGTTTGTTACATAGGTATACATGTGCCTTCGTGGTGTGCTGCCCCTATCAACCCATCATCTACATAACGTAATTCTCTGAATGTTATCCCTCTCCAATCACCCCACTCCCTGCTATCCCTCCCCTAACCCCCTCACCCACAGACAGGCCCCAGTGTGTGATGTTCCCCTCCCTGTGTCCATGTGTTCTCGTTGTTCAACACCCAATCATGAGTGAGAACATTTGATGTTTGGTTTTCTGTCCTTGTGTCAGTTTGCTGAGAATGATGGTTTCCAGCTTCATCCGTGTCCCTGCAAAGGACATGAACTCATCCTTTTTTATGGCACCATAGTATTCCATGGTGTATATGTGCCACATTTTCCTTATCCAATCTGTCTTTGATGGGCATTTGGGTTGGTTCCAAGTCTTCGCTATTGTAAACAGTGCTGCAATAAATATATGTGTTTATATGTCTTTATAATAGAATGATTTATAATCCCTTGGGTATAAGGCAGGGTATACCCTTTGGGTATAATCCTTTGGGTATAATAATGGGAACCCAATAATGGGATCGCTGGGTCAAACGGTATTTCTATTTCTAGATCCTTGAGGAATCACCACACTGTCTGTTATTTGACTAACTCATTAGTCAAATAGCAAAATACTTAGAAGTAATAAATTAGATGTTGTCACACTGCAATGCATTGGTTTTCAAAATGGGTTTGTGCTGTGATTCCAACAGATCTAGAATTGGCTTGGGTTGTTTTGTCCATGTACCTGCATGTCACTGACCTCTTGTCAAGGAAGGTACTGAGTTGCCATGTTACTTTGTAAGCTTCAGTCCAAGCGGTGATTTGAACAAATTTGTCAACATTATTTATTAATAACAGTAAGATCGATGATTTTCAGCTGCTTTCAGTGATAGCCCTGAAGCTCTGCTGTTGGGGCTGATTATAGGAAGAACATGAATATGTAACCAGCAGCATATAAGAAATTTTGACCAAAATATCATTCAGGGTTTCCTGATTTCAAAATATTCCATATACAGGTGAGTGGTTGGTGAATCTAGAGACACCGCTCCACTGTTAAGGCCCACACAGAGGGAGAGCAGTGACATCTCTCACCTGATCTCCCAACCCCCTGCTGGGAGGCCATCCTTAGCTGTGCCCTACCTAATGCTGCTGTGCCTTTCTTGTGCAGTAAACTTTCTATTTGTAAGCATTGCCATTTGGGGTCCTAGCTGTTCTTTAGCAATATAGAACCCTAACTGCTACCTTTAGTGCAATATTTTAGCATAATTTTCTTTTAAATCGAATTGGATAAAGTACATCATATCACACAGAGTTATTTTTTTCTTTTTAAGCAAAGAGATAATAGAGGTACATGCTGGCCTCAGTGGAAACACTGCCCAGCACCTCATGAGAGAAAAACACCTCATGTCTAATAAAAGCTAATGGCTTTTGTTTGTGGGTTAGTTGTATTGAATTTAAATAAATAGTAGGAAAACACACTTTTGAAGATATAGTGAAATCTGTTTTATCGAGATATTAAACAAAAGAAAATCAACTATAATTTTCTAACTTGCTTAAAAGCAGCACAGAATGTTTCATTTATCAATATAACCAAGATGCCATGCTTTTTTTTTTTAGCACAGTTATCAATTGGAATATTGTGATGGTATTTTTATGATCTCCAAAAGTGAATCATGTACATGAATGTGCACACATTTTACTGTCTTCTTAATACAATGAAAAATTATCAATTCCATATCCTAAGGGGAATTGGCAAGTAATCTATGTGTAATCTAATGTACTCCACTAGTGTAAGTCAGGCTGGACAGACCATCAAGTATGAATCTACCTGCTTCTTTTTTTTTAAGTTTGTGCCTTTTTAAAAACTTTTTTCTTTCTGTGCAAATCAGTTTAAAAGCTCAGTTTTTATCACAGCTTACATGCAATTTTATGTTTTTTGATCTTAAAATTCCAACATAAGCGTTTTTCCATGTTGTTATAAGTATACATAAAAATCATTTTTAATGGTTGAGTCATGGTTTTTGGAGAAGATAAACCATATATTACATAAGAGTTCTCTACTTTTGGACATGTACATGTGTTGGTTTACTTGTTTTTTTATTATAAATGCTGACATATTCACTTCTCTATATACGGCTATTGCCACATTTTAAATTTTATTTTAATGTGTAGAGTTAAAAAAAACTATAAATAATCTTATAAGGGAGTTCACAAAGGATAAAATAGAAATAACCAAGCAGCATGTTTTATAATGTTCAATCTACCTGGTTCTTTTACACCATTTAGAGTTCTGAAACTGGTGAAGACATGATATTCCAGAGGTGTAAAAAACTGGGTGTCAGATAATTACACTTAGAAGCGTTATTAAACACAAAAATATTAACTAGCACTTATTTGAAGCTTTAATAGAAAAAATAAAATAGGATGCTGAGTTGTGAAGGGGTTATTCAAGGCTTTCTCAACATCATTCTGCAAAACACTGCTTCTTTAAGATATTTCTTGAAGAAATACTATTTGGCCAATTAAATTGGAAACACTTTGCCTGGATTATTCACCTCCCACAACCACCCCAGCAAAGTCACGGTAAAGGAAAACTGACGACAGCCATGGAAAAAACCTGCAGGAAATAAACAGGCTTCATTTTGCGGTCAGTCGATGGTTTATCACGCTGTCCCTCCGTTGTTATTATTCCTTAGTTCAGCATGGAATCCTTTTTCCTTGGCAGCAATATCAATGTCTTAAGTGCAGTTCACTTCCAGACAAACTAGATTATTCTAGGAAAAAGAACTTTCTGGAATTGAGAGTTTGTAGGAAAGGATAAGTATGCATAAAAGAGAAAAAAAATTATCATGAGACTCTGTCCTGGAAAAAAAAAAAAAAAGGAAAAAAGTGCAGAATCCTGGGGAGAACATGTCAGGGTGTTCAGGCTCCAGGCAGAAGGCTATGACACCCCCGCATTGCTGACCAAGGCATTCCTAGTGCCAGTGAGGGCTGAGCCAACAGGGAGAGGTGCAGGTGTGCCCCTTCAGGGGCCATCTCCCTCCAGACCAGCCTCCTGAGTGCTGCCCTCATGGGCCTCAGTCTCTTCCAAATCTTGCTCCCCAGGAGGCAATAAAAGCACCTCATCCTGGCATTTAGGAACCACTTTCTCCTTCCAGCCTGTGCCTGCTGCCTCCACCTAAATATAGAAGGACCTACATTTCCTGGTGGCCATGCCCTCTGTGGGGTGGCTGTCATCTATGCAGTGCTATTCCTGGGGAGCCCTTCCCTTCCACCCTCCAGTGCACCTACGGGGCTCCTACTATTAATAGCAGCACCTCCGCCAGGGGCAGAGTCAGGGTGTGAGGGCTGTGGCCCAGTAAGGGGCTCAGAACTGTTCCACAACCCCAGCACTGGAATACAGGCTCAACCTCTGTCCTGGGACTTGAGTGCTCCCAACCTGGCCCCTGTCACTCATTCAGACTAGCGCATCCCTCCAGAGAGCCACCCTCAATCATCCTGGGCCTTTGCAGAGGCTACCCTCCTGCCCTTGTCTCTACTCACTTAGGCGACCCCTCCTCACACTGCAGGGCTCAGCACACTGGCCTCCAGAAAGCCCCACTTCTTCCCTCACCAGAGCTGACCTGAGGCCCAGGCCACTCTCTGGCCCCCACTTCACCTGGTGCTCCTCATGCTGAAGGAGCTTCATGGCTGGGGGGGCCTTCCTGAAGAGGCTATGGGCTCATGGAGGGTAGGGTATGTCTGTTTCTTCTCTGTCCATTACATAATCTCAACCACATGAGGAAGGAAAAACCCTACAAGGAAAGGAAAATATTCTCTCCCTTCTCAATGGTTGAGATCAACCATTGAGAGATGAAAGAAAAGGAATTGAATATGTTGCATGTAGACATTAGGAGATCTTCAAAATCCAAAAGCTATTGAATTTTGAAATTACAGATTTCAAAAAGTCAGATTTTGAAATTACAAATGATTGAAAACCACCATGGCACGTTAAACCTATGTAACAAACCTGCACAATCTACACATGTACCCCAGAACTTAAGAGTACAATAAATATAGAAAAAGAAACTACAAATGAAAATGCTGTTGAAGTGTTGTACCAGTTTAAATAGCTAGGAAACGAAATATCAATCTCTATAATCCATCTAGACAAAAGCACTTACTTTTTAAAAGAGGAAGATGTTTTGGGGACCAAAAGAGAGAAAACCTCTGTGAAAGATCCCCAGCCATGATTGGCCCCTGCTTTGCTCTGAGCTCATGAAAAGCCTTTGTGATGTCATAACAGACAGGCCTATATAAGGCCCTGGCTGGGTCATGGTTTTTGGTCTGAGAAATCCCTGGAAGCTTTTTTGGTGACCTGTGGACTCAGACCAGCTTAGCGATTACGAGTTGTTTGGCGGGGTGGGGGGAGTTTTTGTGGGAGGGGCGTTGTTGTGTTTTTTAGTTAGTATAGTTAATATAGTTGGTACTGTTTCTTAGCATTTTAGTGTTCTTTGGGATAGTTAGTATTGTTAATGTTTTAGCGTAGTCCATAGAGTTAGAGTAGTTACTTGTATATAGTTAGTGTAGACAAAGTAGGCACCATGAGGCAGGTGGAACAGCCTCCACCCCACCTGCCCTGCGGCCACCTTATTATCAAATACTAAACTTTATAGGCCGTGGTGCCTTTGGGGAGGTCACGCTGGCCCGCCACTTAATGACTGGCACCCGGGTGGCGGTGAAAACAATCGACAGAACCGGCTTCCTCTCTAGCCACAGAGAGATGACTGTTTTACAGTCGGTGAGCCACCGAAACATCATTAAGTTATATCATATTATTAACAGCAAAGAGGCGTGCCATTTCGTTCTAGAATACGCCGCAGGAGGAAGCCTGTCTAACTGGATTGAACGAAATATCGTGGAGGAGGAGGAGGCCCGAGGCATGTTCCAACAAATGCTGTCCGCCGTGAGGTACCTCCACCGCCGCAGCATCGCTCACCGAGACCTAAAACCAGACAACATGCTGTTAGATGTTAAGGGAAACATAAAAATTGCTGATTTTGGATCGGCCACGAGTTACCATGAGGGGCAGAGGCTGACAATAGCTCATGGGACCCTGGCCTACATGGCCGCAGAACTCTTCGGGGCCCAGGGCTATGAATGCCCCGCCATGGACATATGGAGCCTAGGCGTCACGCTGTTCCAGATGGTGTCCAACAACCTGCCCTTCTCCGCAGTGAGTCGTACGCAACTGAAACGCCTAATTCTATCTGGCCAGTATGTTAGCCCGCAGTACTTTTCTGAAAACCTTAAAAGACTAATTAAAAACCTTTTAATGCCTGATCCCAATGAGCGGCCGACAGCAGACAAAGTCATGGGGGAATCATGGGTGAACAACGGCCTTCACAGGAAGTCAGACCCCCAGCATGCCCCCACGGCCTCCCTGACCATCGAGCGTACTTGTGGAGATTTAGAAAACTTGGCACGGCAAGCCCTCCAGTGTGACCGTGTGGCCTCCTCCATTGTAAGCGCCATAGGCGGTGGTGGTGCTTTAGAAACCTTGGCAGAGCAAGCCCCCCAGCGTGACCTCGTGTCTGCAGCCTCCACCAAGTGCTCCACCGGCAGTGAAAATTTAGAAACTTTGGCTCAACCAGCCCTCCCGCATAACCTCATGGCCGCCTCCATCCTGATCACCACCCAGAGCACCGTGTCTCCACAACCAGGACACGAAGGCAGCGTCCTCCAAGCTGGGCAGCCCGAGGCTGTGTTGGCCCGGCCAACAAGAGGCTGGAGCTGCCGCAGGGCTGCCCGAAGGTGCATTGCCATAATAAGGAGATGCTGCTGCTGCCTGTGCCCACCCAAGAGGCAGAGGAAGAGGGTCCACCCAAGAGAAAAAGTAAGTAGGTGGGCGGTGAAGCCGCACTTCTTGCATTTTAGTATATTTATTCTGTCTTTATTAGTATTGTTTTAATTGGCAAATCTCCGGGGCGGAGAGTGGCAGAGGGAGGGAATGGGGGGGGGGTATTGGTCAAAGGACCAAAGTCTAGACAGGAGGAAGAGGTTTTGACTCTAGTGCACAGCAGGGTGACCAGAGTCAATAAGAACATATTGCATTTTGCAAAACATGTTCATGTCAAATGTCTCTGCATTTAGATTGGAGAGGACAAAGGCCCTGAGGTCCAAGAACATTGAAACCTGAGATGCCCAGGAGCAACGTTGGAGCCTGCAGCACTTTATATAAAAAAATATAAAAATAAATGTATCATTCTGATAAATGACCATTTCTTGCTTCTTGCAAATTTTGTAGTAGCATTGGAAAGGTGGCACGTGGGTTGCAGACACTCTGCTGCTTTGTGCCCTCCCTGCACAGGACCAGGGCTAAGAGAAGGGCAAGGCTGGAGGCAAAAGAAAAGGCAGATTTACTAGCACCTGCCTTAGTTGAAAGAAAAGCGGGGATAATGAAAGGATGGAGGAGGACGTGGAAGAGAGCAAGTAAAAGATATAGCTAAACCAGAGTCTAAACCTGGTCCAGACTGGAGAACGGTCTATAAAGATCATGCAGTTTACCCCTGTGCAATACCTAGTGGTGGGATGTGATACAAACTGGTGGGTCACTGTCTCACACTACTACTATTGTGGCTATAGGAGTATCAGGTAAAAATGAAGAAAAACAAACCAATCAAAATATGTCACTGGAAGGCAAGAGGTGTGGCACAAGTTCTTATATCTTCCCAGCTGCCCTGTTCCTTTGTTGGGGAGGAATCTGCTCCAAAAACTACAAGTACAAATTTCTTTTAAGCCTAAAGATAACAAGACTTTAGATTTTAAGTAACCAAAGACTATGGTATTAGCCTTCACAGTGGCAATTATTTGCTAGGGATATTTCTTACACAAGAAATCATCCCTCGCTTCGGCCTACCTGCCACCATCCAGTTGGACAATGGTCCAGCATTTACTGCCCAAGTAGTCCAGCTTGGTGCTGAGTCCCTCAACATCTAGATACTACACATCCCTTACCATCCTCAGTCATTGGGTAAAGTTGAACAGGCCAACGGCATCCTCAAAGACCATTTGGCCAAACTTGCTATTGAGGTAAAACTCTCTTGGCCCACACTCCTACCTCTTGCCCTGGCCCATATCCGGGCCACCCCACGGGGGCCAATAGGCCTGAGCCCCTTCGAATTGCTGTACGGCCGGCCTTTCCTGGTTTCCCATAATCTCCCTGTGTGACCGCCACCACTGGCCTCCTACCTTTCGTTTCTCTCTCTCCTGTGCCAAGTACTCAGGGAGCATACGGACTGCACTCTCCCTGTGGTTCTGGGACCAGAGGACCCCCACCCGGCAGCACCTCTCCAGCCGGGTGACAGCATTCTCCTCCAAGAGCTTAAACCAGGATCCTTGCAACCCAGGAATCCTGGACTGAGGGCCCCACCACCAGGACCCATAATCTTGCACAGGCAAACTGCCAAACAGGCAGCTGTCAGTCTACTGTCTCCATTTTCATCCCACATGGTAAAAGCACCATACTCGGTCGCAATCATGGGTTTAACTTTCAGCATGGGTTGTGTTTTCTATATGACCAAACCAAGGACTACTGTCATTGGTGGAACATCACCTATGGGGGGTGCCCATACAGCTCTTGTGTTATTCACAAGCCACAGCCTCCAAGCTGTCCCAACCGCATGCTCGCTCACTTCAGCAATGGTTTTTTAGCCCTCAACATCCGTGACTCCGGCACAGCCGTTAGGATACAGGATACTTGGCTTCCCAAGTGCTGGGATTACAAGTCATGAGCCACTATGCCCAGCTGAAATCATACTACTTTATTTAAAAAAAAAAAAAAATGTGGGCCAGGGAGGAGGAAGGTTAGGGGGTTTAATTTAAAATAAATTAGTGGGTCAGTTCAGAGAGACACCCTTTTGAATACATGTCCAGTATGAACTGTCTTGTAAGATATCTCTGCTAGTTAGTCTTATTCCAAAATAATTATTTTTTTCAAATTTCCTTTTGTTTTTCTATTTCTATAATGAGGATTTATGGCAGTGGTTTTAAAAGACTTAGTCTAGGGAAATGTATTAATTGTAAATAAATTGTTTAATAAAATTTACATGAGTAAGTTTTTGAAAAAGATGTAATTAGAGCTGACTATACAAGTTCAGCAGTTCTGTGGTTACCATCTTTCCCAGATAGTTAGCAGAAATTAAATGTGAAAAGAAAGTTTGTCTTTGAAATTAATACCAATGAACCAACCAAAGGTCAATGAAAGATACTTTATTGACTTCAATTTGTATTTGTAGGAGATTTTACTGTTAAGATTCCTGATTCAAAGTATCCAGCCTTTTTTTCTTTCTGTTCTTTGAAAGTTAGCATTTTCAAGGAGTACAAAATCCATTTTTAAAGTATCAGTTGGGTAAGCTTAATTTTTGGTTCTTCAACAAAGTTTCCATTTAGTTTAGCTTCCTTCAAAACGTTTTAGTCACTTTGAGAGGTCCAGGTGCTTTCGTGCTCCAAAAGAGAATGTTGAAAATTTGTCAAGTAGATCTGTATTATCTATCTAGTTATGTTCAGAAAACAGGCCCTGCTGTTTAGGATTAGGTGGATGATCGTCTCCGTTGGACAGTTGGATATGTACCATCTAACTTGACAGGTTTGCATTTCTGGGAATAAACATTGATGAAAGGAAAGAAGTCGCACCGGAAACGTCTTTAATGGCCGGATATGGTGAAAATATGCCAGCATCAGTAGCTCATCATAATTCTAAAGTTACAAATCCACACATTTGTAGCTTTTCTTCTTAATTGAATTGGGACATAACTGACTTTGACAATGAACCATTCTAATAAATAGTTTAAATATGACATTTAAAATCTAACCATTTAATAATTAGAGAGCATACTTGTTCTGAAATTTCTGTCACCGTTTAGAACTTGAGATCTGGGGTCATCATGGCCTTGAATCCTAACACCAACATTTAACTGTGTGACCTTGGGCCTCAGTATTTTATTCTATAGAAGATGTTTAATAAGGTTTTTGGGAGGAACAAATAAGACGGTGCCCTTTATGTGTCTAGCATAGTGCTTGGGGTGCTTAGTAAATATTAACTATTATGATGATGTGTGTCCTTTTTTTCTTCCATATCTATGTTTAGTTGAGATACTTCAGAATGATGTCTCTATCCCTTTTGTGATCTTAATATATAATATTGCTGTCCAATAGAAATATAACATAAACCACATATGTAATTTTCAGTTTTCTACAAATCATGTTAAAAAAGTACAGACAAGTGAAATTAGTTTTAATAATGTTATTTAACCCAGGCCATGCATATATTTCGTCATGTAATCAAAGCAGAAAAAAGGAGATTTTAAATTCTTTTTTTTCCCATAGAAAATCTTCAAAATCTAGTGTGTATTTGATGCTTAGAGCCCATCTCAGTTCAGGGTACCCATATTTCAGTTGCTCAGTGGTTGCCTGTGGTTAGAGGCGACTGTACTGGACAAACAGCTCTAGATTGCACAGAGCTTCCAAGTTTGCCTCTTAAAGCTCTTAGACCCTTTCCACTAGTGAGAACCTCGCCGCCACCTTAAACCCAGCATTACAAAAAGAAAGCTACTCATCTTTCAGACTCTCTACTCTGTTCCCTTTTGCTGTTAGTAATTCCACCAGCTCTTCAGACTACTGAAATCGGATTCATATTCTCTTCTTTCTTGTATGTTGTTTGTTGTCTAATATTCTCGTATTTTCATTTGAAAATATTTTTTTCTTCAGTCTGACTTCATTCTTCCTACTATATATTTGAAAATATTTTAAAATCTCTTTCCCTCACCCCTTGAGTCTGTTTCCCACATTTTTGCCTTATCCACAGATTCCCTTTTTTTTTTTCTTATTATACTTTATGTTCTGGAGTACACGTGCAGATCTTGCAGGATTGTTGCTTAGGTACACACAGGCTCTCTGAGTCTCTGGGCTCCACATTCTCTCCATTCTTTCCTCAGCCCTTTATAATGTTAGAAATGGTTTCCATTTCATAGGTTATTCCTACCCTTAATACCTTTCCTTTATCAAATATCCAGAAAAGTATAATTAGTTTAACTGACAGTTTGACATTAAAATAATTTATTCAAGAGAAGAGGCACAAATGAAGGAGGAAAAACAAGCTGTGGGAAGGGAAGATGAAACCATTCTTTGAGCTTTATATGCCTTTCAGGAAATATCAGAAGGAATAGATTCTAGTAGTCTATAGTACAGTAATTCTAGTTAACAATGTATTATATATTTCAAGATAGCTAGATGAGAATTGTAATATTCCTAACATAAGAAAAGATAAATGTTTGAAGTGATAGATATTCCAGTTACCCTAACTCGATCATTACATTGTATACATGTACCAAAACGGCACATGTACCCTGGGAAAATGTACAACTATGAGGCATAAATTTAAAAATAGAAATATCATGGAACTGATTAATAATAATCACAATCACCACCCCAAAGCAATGAAACTTGATTTTTTTTTTAATTGTACATTAAGCTCTGGGGCACATGTGCACATCCCGCAGGGTTGTTGCATAGGTATACACATACCATGGTGGTTTGCAGTCTCTGTCCCCCGTCGGCTACATCAGGCATTTCTCCCACTGTTTTCCCTCCCCAGCCTCCCTACCCCCCCGCTGTCCCTCCCCAGCCCCCCCACCCCCACCCTGCCCCAGAGTGTGATGTTCCCCTCCCTATGCCCACGTGTTCTCATTGTTCAACACCCTCCTATGAGTGAGAACATGTGGTGCTTGGTTTTCTCTTCTTGTGTCAGTTTGCTGAGAATGATGGTTTCCAGATTCATCCATGATGTTTACACAGTGCTTTCTAAGAGACAGGGCACCTTCCTCTGTGCCTGGTGAACAGAGGGACAAAACAAAAGAAAGGCACTGGACGAAGAGTCAAGAAACCTGGGTTCTAGCCCTGGCTTTATTATTTACTAGCTCTATTCCCTTGCTTAAGTTGCTTTGAGACACTGTACACATCTGCTCAATGGGGTATTATGTCTGTGGTGAGATTGTTTTGTTAGAATCAAATGGGGCCTCAGCGTTTTTACATTGGCTGTCCTTTGGCTGTGTAGATCTTCCCCTCCGTGCCCCCAGCCTACCCTAATCACTCTAGTAAAACTGGAACCTGCCTTATATTCACACACACAGCTGGATATGTACCACACCTGATCCTCTTACACTGCTTTTTTCCCACAGCACTTATAACCTAGCAGTTTGCTAATTTACATAACAATTGAAACCATTTAATCATTAATCTCTCTCGATGCATTTAAAATCATCACAATTCAGTTTGGGCATGTTTCAGTAGTATAGCTGCTTTTGTTTCCATTGTGCTGAACCAGAGTAAGTGACTTCTGTATCAACAAAATGCTTGATGTATTTCCCAAGGAAATTAAAGTGCACAAATATAGTTAGGGATGTTGCCATTGTCTAATGCCTAGACCGCTTCCATGATGACGTTACTGAGAAAAAAATCACTGTGTAGTATCAAACAGTAAAATCAGCACATAAGGGAAGTCAGAGGAACTTCATTTCCTAAATGCTGCTCCAGTCTTACCCAGCTCCTGCATGATTCTGGGTGAAGGGGATCTGACCATCATATTGCTAATCAGAGATATTGCCCTGGGAATTGTGCCTCCTTGCATGCCAGTTTTCATCATTCATCTTACTAAAGGGTGTAGTATCACAAGAAATACAGATTTACCAGCTTTCAGAGAAGGGTGTGCTAGAAATGGGGTTCAGCAGTCAGCCCGACAGCATTTCATGAGTGTTATCTCTCTCACTTCCTTTCACACCCAGTTCTGGCCTTAGTGGAGGATTCTGATACACAGGACCAGAGGGTATAAGTAAAGGGTATACGTATACATATCATAGTATTGTCCTTTCTCTTTCAAGTATAATGACTATGAATGTAAACGAAAAAAGAAAGAGTAGAGGGAAAAACTGTTGAGGATGCCATATTAGTCAAGGTTCTCTGGAGAAACAGAATCAATAAAAGGAAATTTATTATGAGTAGTTAACTTATGTGATTATGGAGGCTGAGAAGTCCCACAGTTTACCATCTGCAAGCTAGAGACCCAGGAAAGCTGGTGGTGAAGTTCCAGTCCATACCCGAAGGCCTGAGAATCCAGGGGCCAATGGTGTACATGCCAATCCAAGTATGAAGGCCTGAGAATTAGGAGAGGCTGATGGTGTAGTCTCACTCCAAATCAAAAGGCCCAAGTACCAGGAGCACCAGTGGATGTGCCAACTCAAGCAGACAGCAAATTCAGCCTTTCTCCACATTTTTATTCTATTTTAGCTCTTAGTGGACAGGAAGATGCCCACCCACATTGGTGAGGGTGATCTTCTTTATTCAGTCTATTGATTCAAATGCTAATCTATCTAGAAAAGCCCTCAGAGATACAGCCAGAAATACCTGCTATCTGGGCATCCCTTATCCCAGTCAAGTTATCCATCACAGATCAAAACAATGTATTGCTTCAGAATCCATGTCTGAAGTACACTGAATAAGAGTGATACTCTCAGATTGCCTTTTCACTCATTTGTTTCTTCTTTCTATTATTTGCTCATTATCTCACATTTGGTGATTCCACAATCATTTCCCTTGTGTTTTCTTTTTTGTTTTTAATAAAGACAAACACGATGCTGTGACCTAGGAAAAAAACAGATTTGTTGTCATTAAAGGTCATACTGCTTTTCTTGAATGGTGCTTCCAAAAGGTATGAAATTGGTTCATTTTATGGTATGTGTGTTGAAACATAATGGAACAATACTCTGAGAGTTAGAAGACATAGCCGGGAGTTGAACAATGAGTACACATGGACACAGGGAGGGGAGCATCACAAATTGTGGTCTCTTGTGGGGAACTAGGGGAGGGAGAACAGGGGGTGGGGAGTGGGGAGGGATAACATTGAGAGAAATGTCAGATACAGGTGATGGCGGGGAAGGCAGCAAACCACATTGCCATGTATGTACCTATGCAACAATCTTGCATGTTCTTCCCATGTACCCCCAAACCTAAAACACAATAAAATATATATTAAAAAAAATAAATAAATAAAAATAAAATGATTTTTTTTCTACATTTTATAATTCTTGACACAATCACTTGACTTATGCTAATGTTTTGATTTCCCCCAACAGCAAAATGAAATCAATAATGCACAGTATTTACTTACTTTGTAGCAATATTTGGGGGTGTGTTATGAAGAAAATGATTTTCAGCTATCTTGAAGAATTTTTTAAATGTTCTGACAAATGATTATACTCCATTTAGTAGATAAGAAAATAAAAGCAAAAAAATCTCAAGTAAATTTTTTTATACTGCAGACATTTTAGTTGGAACAGTGAAGAGGATATAAGGATGACTTATGTGTCTATCATATAAAATTACTTTTATGTAAAGAAACCATTTGGTGACACTGAACCAGTTATCAAATATTAAGGCCTCCTAAACTAAAAAAAGCTAAGTCAAAAGACTAAGTTATATTGGAAATTGTTAAATAATGAACACACTGTAGGTATGAATAATAGTTTAACTGGTAGGTATTCTTTCGACATTGACATAAACTTTCTATTTCTTTTAGGCCAATAACCAGGAAAAACAACAGTAATCTAAAAGGCTTATCTCATGTCACCTTTTAATTGATATTTGAAAACACACTAGCCTCGTCTAGTTTAGTGGAAAACAGCCTGATTATTTAACTTCCCAAATATCCTAATAAAGAGCTGATTAGGATTTAAAGATCCCAAATGAGTCTCCTAAAATCCATGTACATTAAGTGATTCGCATTGTAATGTGATGAGATTATAGACCATTGGCATTACTTTGGAAGTCCTGGATTATTTTTTCTATGGCTAATTAACTGTATGGGACCTACATAGGTAGTTAAACAGTCTTCTGTAAGTTTTCTACTATTTTAAAAGGAAAAACCCTATGTTAAGGCAACCATTTAAGTGAAGAATGAAAAAAAAATGCTTACTATATTTGTCACTAGTTTCTTCTTATATAAACAGAATATCTAAATCATAACATTTTAAGCTAAAACAGCACTTTTGAAAGTTCAAGTTCTCTTGATCTATAAAAGTAATTTGTGACTGCACAGTAAGCAAAACAAAGGTTACCAATCCATGGCCCAAATTATTAAATAGAAAAGACCAAGGTGGGCATGATTATTTTTACATTTCTGACATATGCAATTTTTCACATGCTAATACTTCAGTGGACGATGGGAAGCATTGAGGAAGTGGATTGTCATGGAGCTGTAGATGCACTTGTAGAAATTGCTTGCTTGCAGGAATGCAGGAATGAGCTTTGATCCTTCAAGTACAGCTTCTGTGTAGAAATCCAATGTGTAGTGCAGAGATGGAAAAACACTTTTCTTTTTGTTTTTACTTAAAACGATTTTTGGTCATGTATCTGAAGCTTGAATCCCTATTAAAAAACAACATCCACATCCCATAAAAATAAGTTTCCACTATGAGAGGCTTATGTTTGTAGGTTGCTTTCACTTTTTCTCCTTCCATTCAGCATCTGTAAAAGGATGCGCCTCAATTATATACTATTTAAGGTCCTGCAAGATAGAAAATTGGATATTTTTATTAAAAGGAAGTTTCAATGGATTGATGAAAAGGTGCATATATAATAAAGGTAGTATCATGAAATATTAGCTAGGTGGAGTGTATACGGGAGTTCCCTGTAGTTTAAAAAATCTTCATAATGAAATATTGAAAAGCACAATATTGATTAATGATATTCTACAGTATGTACTGATATATAAAAACTGATACATGCATTCACATTATTTAGTATTTACAGTAATCTCCGAAGTATAATTAAATTTTGTTCAGCTCCATTTTATAGATGCAACTGAGGAAAGAGAAACATTTACCTATGATAACCCAACTAGCTAGCTGAAGATTAGAAAAAGAAATGCAGCTCCTGATTATTGTAATAAAAATTTAAATTGTTTGTATACATATATATGTAAATATGTATAGGCGCATATATATATTCTATTCGCCAAGTATTCATTCATACTTTAGACATGTATCAAATGTGTGCAGCTGCATGATAATGACTCCATTCAATTGCATAGAAATTTACAGTTTACAGAATAGTTTTAAATGTGTTGTCTCATTCAATTAATAAAACAAAACTGTGTGATAGGTCAGGTAGAAGATATTACCTGTATGTTAGCAATGAGATCTCTCATCACAGAAAAATATTTTGATTTTCTCGGGTTAATCCAATCAAAAAATTAGATCTTGGCCCAAAATCCTGGTTGTCTGTCTCCTATTGGAACTGTGTAGACTATAAAAGAAAGGAAGGGACTTTACTTATGAGCAACTAACAATCAGACTGGCAAGATATGTCTTATATGGAAATTAGAAAATAAATTATAAACATTAGCAAATACTCTCTTGGTTCTGTAAGAATACAATAGTCAGGAATGTACTGAAGAAAATTCACAGTAAGAGAAAAGACTGCTGTTACTTCCAAGATGACTGATCTTTGGATTTTTTATATTGCTGTCAATTCAGAAACATTTGAAATAAAACAGTTTTATTCTTTATCAGTGGTTCTCAAATTCTTCAGCAAATTTGGTGGTATACTAATGATCCTTATATTCATTTTTTTTTTTTTCCTAAAAAATGAATCTTGGTCAAGCATAGGGACTCATACCTGTAATCTCAGCACCTGAAATCTCATACCTGAAGGCCCAGGTAGGGGGATCACTTGAGGCCAGTAGTTTGAGGCCAGCCTGGGAAACATAGCAAGACTCCAACTCCACAAAACATAAAAACATTAGCCTGGCATGGTGGTGCATACCTGTAGTTGTAGCTCCTTGGGAGGCTGATATGGGAGGATCACTTGGGTCCAGGAGTTGGAGGCTGCAGTGAGCTATAATCAGGCCACTGCACTCCAGTCTAGATAGTAGAGCAAAACCCAGTCTCTGGGAAAAAGGAAAAAAAATGTGAATTTTGGGATGCTTCACTTGAAAATCTAAATAATCCCCTTATTTGTACTTAGGACCATCTAGTAAAAGTCCATATCATCATCACCATAACCTCAATCTGCTCAACCTGTTTTTGAAAGGAATGCTCTTATGACTGCACCAGAATAGCATGAATATGTAGGAATTTATAATGACTTTGAACAATGTAAAGTTATAATAACAGAATCCAGACAAAATACAAAATTTCTTTTTTCAAATGCAACAATTGCTGATTTTGAATTAAGGGAATTAAATTATATGATTTGATTCTATTTTCCTGTGTTGATACAACCCCAATTGTCAAAATAAAATTTCAGTTAAATATATTTTTTCCATTGCGCACTTTCATGGAGAATAGAAAAAGTAAAAGTAACAAAATAAAATGTTAAGTAGGGTAAAATAGAATTATATGGTCAAATTCAATTGATCCATTTATCAGGATATTATTGTTGTATAATTTTAAAAAAGGGTAGTTAGATTTTTCTCTATTGTCTTTACACTAATTTGATCCTGTCAATAATCTATTTGACATTAGCAAAAATAGCAGAATGTATAGTTACGTTTATAGAAACATGGCGCAATATCTATAGAAGATAAAGTCATAGATACACAATAGAAAATCTTATGTAATTATAGATCATTAACATATTATATTTGAATTTGAATAAGAAATTAGAATATGAAACAGTGAAAATTATTTAAAATTACAATGCATACTGAGGCTTCAAGAAGAATGCCCTTCATGTCTAAGGGTCGCAAGCCTGCATAAAACCATTGGATAATTTCATTCCTCCTGATTTCTTCCTTAATCTGTCGTAGAAGGGAGATCATTGGCACCTTAAAAGTCTTAGGTAAAGACATTAGTTTTCTCATTTTCTCACTTTAATTGAATGTGTAGTGTGTATATGAAAGTATAATTATGTCCAGAGGTTGCTTGTCAAACCATGTTTTTCTTGTAATTACCTGATTTGTTCAGCTTTAATCATATTTACTTTGAAGGTCAGCTGTCCTGCTCAGACACGGTTAGTTGAAGAGGGAAAAATATGTAACACCCACAGGCAGGAAGCCTAAAAGAAAGAAAAATGAAGGGAGTGTTGTCTTCCCATTTAGACAATAAACAGAGCCAAACTCTCACCTATAAATTATTATAGGCTGACAGATCATATTATTTGCTTTCACTTCATGATGTTTCATATTCATTTTTACCATTTGATACTGACTTGTAACTTTTGAGAAAGAAGGCTTATCACTCTTCTTTGAAGATTTAATTAACTTTGATCTTGTTAGATGCTAGTGATGATGAATCTATTCAGGAATAGACTTAAGGAGAGAAAGCTGATAATGTGCATCTCTCTTTTTCATGATCTCCACTTAGAAAACTATTTTAAGTCAATTTTTCATCACATTTTTACACATTATGGAAACCTTCTCAAATTCACATACCTGGCTCTAGGTTAACTATTAAAGTGGTATTTTAACAGTATGACTCCACTTAATGTCACAAATCTATAGGATTATTACAATCAGTAAACATCACTTATAAATACTTATTTACTTTTGGATACATTTACATATAATGAATACAGAGCAAACTACCCAATTATATCTTGAAATTGTTATCAGGAGGGAACCAACCTAGCTAGTGGCTTCATCTTGGTACCAAGTTGAAAATGATATTATTAATGGTGTGAAGAAAAAGACAAATAAAAAGTAGCAACATGAAGAAAGTTAGCACTAAAAGCAAATTTTAACTAGTATATAATAACCAGTAGAAGGATTTGATAGGATATTTAAGACAACTGAACCCTTTTGTACAAGGGAACAAGAAGATATCCCATCTAATTGTGTCAGAAAAAAAGGAAATTAAAAAATTCCAAACAAAAATAGTCACTAATGATGATCCACCTATCTATTGCTTATATAATACAAAATCCCCAAACTTAGGGGTTAAAAATGCCAACCATTATTTTATTACTATGTTTTATAGTTTGAGTAGCTGATTAGACTCAAGCAGGTGGTTCTGATTCTCTCCTGCACTTGCACTTGGACAATGGCTGGAGCTAGAGCTGGCTTAAAAGCCTCTTTGCTCACATCTGGGACCTCAGCTGGGCTGTTGGCCAGAACACTGAAATACAGCATTTACATATGACCTGGGCTCAAGGTGCCACAGGGAACAAACATTTTGATTTTTTTCTTTTCTTTCTTTCTTTTTTTTTTTTTTTGCAGGAGGAATTACGATTTATTTTTATATTATTTAATTTATTTTTTTATCATACTTTAAGTTCTGGGGTACATGTGCAGATCATGCAGGTTTGTTACATAGGTATGCTCGTGCCATGGTGGCAGTTTGGGGCATCCATCACCCCATCATCTACATTAGGTATTTCTCCTAATGCTATCCCTCCCCAATCCCCCCACCCCCTAATATTCCTCCCCTAGTCCCCCATTCCCCAGGCCCCAGTGTGTGATATTCCACTCCCTGTGTCCCTGTGTTCTCATTGTTCAACACCCACTTATGAGTGAGAACACGCTGTGTTTGGTTTTCTGTTCTTGTGTCAATTTGCTGAGAATGATGGCTTCCAGTTTCATCCATGTCCTTGCAAAGGAAATGAACTCTTCCTTTTTTATGGCTGCATAGTATTTTATGGTACATATGTGTCACATTTAAGTTCCTGCTTCACTAAATGTGGAAGTCAGAACTAGTCCACCCTTGATATAATTGGGTCAGTTGGCACAGATTCTATCCATTTGACTATCACATGTAACAATGTTTGCAATCTTAGCTTTTCTCAGTAATAAAGTTTATTCTTTAAGTGCATGTGTCCTATATTTGTTTTACATTTCAATGTATTAAAAACTCAAGAGTCCCACTTCAGAGACTCTGCCATCTCAGTACCTTAATGATATTAGATGCTAAATGAATGCTTGTTAAAAGCAATTATAACTGTTACGGTTCTACACCACATGAGAAATGTTGGATTATACTTAAATTAAATGAACTTAATTTAAAAATTCCCTCCTAAAGAGATAAGAGGCATTACAAAGCCTATTATCAGCCAATCAAACTTTCAACTAAAAACTGAAAAATCTATGAGGTATCAGGCAGCAACTGATAAGACTTCAGGGACAGCTGGATGGAAGTGTTATTGATTTTTAAAACTTTTTCAATATGCTTACTTGATTGGTGCCCTTCACAACATCTAAATCAAATCTGTCGAATCTTGGCAGTTTGCTCTGATACGGAGTAATAATGATGTGTTATAAGAGGTGCCAACTTAGAGCAGCATTGGCTGAACAGGCTGAAATAGGTGTTAAAGTATTGACACTGAGTACTATTTTAACCCCTAGGCATGTTGTGAGCTGGCACCGAATGAACTGAACTATGTGCCTGAGTTATTGGCAAACTACTTTTAATCATGAGCTACTGTTGAGCCAAGCCTACAACTCATTCTATGCACTTTCCTTATGGCAGTATAAAACAAACTTGGAAAAAGATGCGGAGTTTTATGTTTCATGGAGCAAAATCTTCATGGACAAGACTGACAAAATCCTCAGAATCGTGGGCTCTGTTCTTTCATTTTATTTTTCACATAGTAGATATAAATGATTGGAGTTAGTCAAGTTTTTAATTTTTAATTATGTAGGTACCTAGTATGTGTATATATTTATGGGTTTTCATGACATATTTTGACACTGGCATGCATGTATAATAATTACATCAGGGTAATAGGGGATCCATTACTTCAAGCATTTACCCTTTGTGTTACAAATAATCCAACTATAATATTTCAGTTATTTTTAAATGTACAATTAAACTATTATTGACTATAGTCACCCTGTTGTGTTAGCAAATGCCAGGTCTTATTCATTCTTTCTATTTTTTTGTACCCATTAACGATCCCCACCTCCCCATCACATGCCTCCACCTCCCACTATCCTGCCATTCTGTCTCCATGAGTTCAATTGTTTTAAATTTAGCTTCACAAATAAGTGAGAACATGTGAAATCTGTCTTTCTGTGCCTGGCTTATTTCATTTAACATAATAACCTCCAGTTTCATCCATGTTGTTGCAAATGACAGGACCTCAATCTTTATGGCTGAATAGTACTCCATTGTGTATAAATAACCACACTTTTTTTATCCATTCATCTGTTGGTGAACATTTAGATTGCTTCCAAATGTTGGCTATTGTATTTTTTGAGGAACCTCCAAACTGTTCTCCCTCGTGAGTGTACTAATTTACTCTCCCATCAACAGTGAACAGGCCTTCCCTTTTATTCTTGTTTTCACTAGCATTTGTTATTGCCTGTCTTTTGCATAAAAGCAGTTTTAACTGGGGTGAGATGATACCTCATTGTAGTTTTGATTTGCATTTCTCTGATGATGAATAACGTTGAGCACATTTTCATGTATCTGTTTGACATTTGTGGGTCTTTTTTTGAGAAATGTCTATTCAGATCTGTTGCCTATTTTTAAGTTGAATTATTAGTTATTTTTCTATAGAATTGATTGAATTCCTTATGTATTCTGTTTATTACTCCTTGGTCAGATGGGTTGTTTGCAAACATTTTCTCCCATTCTGTGGAATGTTTCTTCACTTTGGTGATTGTTTCCTTTGCTAGGCAGAAGCATTTTAACAGGATGTAGTCCCATTTGTCCATATTCACTTTGATTGCCTGTGCTTGTCGAATATTACTCAAGAAATCTTTGCCCATTCCAATGTCCTGAGGAGCTTCCCCAGGGTTTTCTTTCAGTACTTTCATAATTTGACATCTTAGATTTAAATCTTTAATCCATTTTAAATCATTTTGATTTGGCTTTTGTGTATTATAAGAAATAGAAACTGAGTAGAGGCTTTCCAGCATCAACTGGGACCATGAAGCCATATAAATACCATAGCATTTCCTCTCCTGCTAAATGCTAAGCTGAAGAGAGTAAGAGCTTATTTTCTTTGCTACAGTGTTTATGGTACCTATCACAGTGCCTGGCTTATAATTCTGTACTTAAATAGGGAATGAGTGAATAAGTGATTAGATGGATAGTGGATAGAATCCCAGGAGATCTACATAAATATTTACCCACATCCTGCCTTCACAGTCTAGTGTTTTTAACCACCAATTTAACCCTTCACTCTCTGACATTGAGATACATAGAAACTACTTTGTTAATTGATTGCAAGGATAAGACATCCTTTTCTTTCTTGATAGACTCTTTATTAGCCTCCTATTTGACTATAAAAGAGTATTTTAGGAGTTAAGAAATACCATGAAATGTATAGTCTAACTGAATCTTTTGAATGATCACAAACCAATTAATTATTTAATATAGGCTGGCATTAGTACATATTAAATTAATTTGTATTCTGATTAATATATTTAACTATCTAACTGAATAATATTTTTAAATCTCCTGTTCAATAAGCAAATCAATAAGTACATGATGGTTAATTTTATGTGTCAACTAGATTGGGCCATGCAGCGCCCAGATATTTAGTCTGACATTTCTTTAAATGTGGGTCAGCATTAGTATATACTAAAATAATTTGTATTCTGATTAATATATTTAGTTATATACTTCAATTTATTTTAAAAAACAACTACTGTTCCATAAGCCAATCAGTAAGTATGTGATGTTACTTTTATGCATCAACTTGATTGGGCCATGAAGTGCCCAGATATTTAGTCCAACATTATTCTGTGTGTGTCAGATGAAATGAACATTTTCATCAGCAGACTGAGTAAAAAAAAGATTATGCTCTTTAATGTGGATTGGCCTCATCCAATCACTTGAAGACCTAGATTTAAATAAAAAATGTTAAACCTTTCTGGATTAAGGGGAAACTCCTTCTGCCTGGCTGCTTGAGCTAGAATTTTTATTTCACTAATTAATTTATTTTTTCTGCCCTTCAGACTTGAACTGAAACAGTCACTCTTCTTAGAACTTAAGCCTGCCAGCTTTTGAACTGGAACTTATACACCATTGGCTCTCCTGATTCTACAGTTTGCAAACTGCAGATCTTGGGATCTCTCATCCTCCATTAACACATGAGCTACTTTCTTA